GGTTTGACGTATGGCTTTGAACTTTTTTTGGTTATTTAATGTCAACCAATCACTTTTGCAGTATATCTTTTATACCTTCGAATTCATGGAGTACTCTAATGAAGGGAGGAAGGTATTCACTTTGATTTGAAGTCATTGACATCCTTCTTTGAAATGATGACAATCACTTTTGAAGCGAGATTCTCTACCCTTGAAATGACCATGCGCCTGAATTTGGTCATTTTTCACCAAGATTTTTTCCTGTGACTTTAGGTAATATGATTGGACCGGCTGTTACTAATTTGATCAGCGGAGGACTAGAGAGCCTTTTACGCATGCCCACTGGATGTGGTGAACAAACCATGATATACATGTCCCCCAATGTGTACGTCCTACAGTACCTCACCAACACGAGACAAGTAACAGCAAGCGTTGAGGAGAAAGCTTACAAGTTTATCCAGTCAGGTAGGATTGAGTTTGAACACCATTTACAATAAATCAAATATATATTTTTTAATTTGTTTGTTCYTGTTTTACTAGGCTATCAACGTGAACTCAACTATCGAAGATCTGATCATTCGTTTAGTGCATGGGGAGAAAGAACTCCTGGAAGTACATGGTATGTATTACCTGTATAGTTTTAATGTGTAACAGGGCATAACACTACTCAGCGACAGTAACCCTCGGATATTTTCTTTAAATTTCTTACGTTTACAGGCTGACAGCTTTCGTTCTTAAAGTATTTTGTCAAGCCAGTAGGTTTGATGGCGTGCAGATTGACCAGGATCTCCTTTGTCAGTCTGTTGACTGGCTAGTTCAAAACCAACGTGCAGATGGCGCCTYCCCAGAAATCGCATCTGTATACCATAGAGAAATGGTGGTAAGTTATTGATTAAATGGTTTTATTACCGACAAGTTAGGTTGGCTTGTTTGACGGACAGTTGTGCGGGAAATCATTCGTTTATATATGACTGGATGGTGTTTCTTTAACTAATTACATCTATAATAAATGATTCACTCTTGGATGACCAGGTAAACGCAAACAGTCACAAGTTTCTTCCATCCATCCATCCATCCATCCATCCATCCATCCATCCATCCATCCATCCATCCATCCATCTATCCATCCATCCACCTAATGCGTTTGGTTTATTGAAGTGTTATATAGAGGATATTACGTGGGTGCGAAAAGATACGAAATTTATCTTCTCGTGTTGAAAATCTCTCACTCGTTCGCGCGTACTTAATACTGTTTTGTTTATTGTAGTGTAGTGTTTTATGCTGTTTGGTTTATTTGAATGTAGTGTCATACCATCTAATGCTGTTTGGTTTATTCAGTGTAGTGTCATACCATCTAACGCTGTTTGGTTTATTCAGGGTAGTGTCATACCATCTAATGCTGTTTGGTTTATTCAGGGTAGTGTCATACCATCTAACGCTGTTTGGTTTACTCAGTGTAGTGTCATACCATCTAATGCTGTTTGGTTTATTCAGTGTAGTGTCATACCATTTAATGCTGTTTGCTTTATTCAGGGTGGTGTCATACCATCTAACGCTGTTTGGTTTATTCAGTGTAGTGTCATACCATCTAATGCTGTTTGGTTTATTCAG